GGCAAGCGCCAGGCGTGGAAGGGTATCCTGCTGTACGGCCCACCGGGAACGGGAAAGAGTTACTTGGCCAAGGCGGTCGCGACGGAGGCGAACAGTACCTTCTTCAGCGTGAGCAGTTCGGACCTGGTGAGCAAGTGGATGGGAGAGAGTGAAAGGTGAGTTGTTTCGTGGCATCGCAATATTCAACGGCACGACTGACACCTGGCATCACAGGCTCGTGAAGGCTCTGTTCAGCATGGCGAGAGAAAACAAGCCCTCGGTCCTCTTCATCGACGAGATCGACGCCCTGTGCGGGCCCCGTGGCGAGGGCGAGTCCGAGGCGTCGAGGCGTATCAAGACGGAACTGCTGGTGCAGATGGACGGTGTCGGAAACGACAGCAAGGGCATCCTGGTGCTGGGCGCGACCAATATCCCCTGGCAGCTCGATGCCGCGATCCGAAGACGTTTCCAGCGCCGCGTGCACATCGGCTTGCCCGACGCCAACGGCCGCGCGAGGATGTTCAAGCTCGCCATCGGCGACACGGAGACGAACCTGCAGGCAGACGACTACCGCGTGCTCGCGGAGATGTCGGAGGGTTTCTCGGGCAGTGATATCTCCAACGTGGTGCAGCAGGCGTTGATGGGTCCCGTGAGGAAGATTATCCAGGCCACGCATTTCAAGCAGGTATGTTTACGCTCTTGTGACGCTATACGCTAGATTGCTTGCGAGGAACTTTTGCTAATTCGCACAACAGGTCATGGTCGACGGCGTCAGGAAACTCACGCCCTGCTCCCCCGGCGACCCCGAGGCCAAGGAGATGACGTATCACGACGTAGACTCAGAGGAGCTCATGGCGCCCATCATCGAGCTCAAGGACTTCAAGCAGGCGCTCAAGGAGTCGCATCCCACCGTCTCCGACGACGACGCGGCCAAGCAAATAGAGTGGACCAACGAGTTTGGCAGCGAGGGCGCATGAGCTGGAGAACGCCTTTAACAAGTGGGTTATGGGGGTGGAAGCTGGACGCGAAAAAAGACGACTACAGTGTGAACGCTTCGACAAGAAGACATTGCTCGTGTTTTTGAAAGAAGGGAAAGAGACTGGCACAGAGAATATCAGACTCGACGGGTGGCGGAGGCGGGAATTCGGTATTGATGCAGATAGTGTGCGATGTGTGGCTGTCGTCAGTTCAAGGGGGCAGGCAAGCAGGACCAGGCGAGGGGCGGAAAGAAATCGGCGTCCTCTGGCGTTTTGTAAACGGCCGGCATTGGGTTGGGCAAACTTACTCTATTATTGTTTTTTACTACTACTGTTCTGTTCTGTTTCCAAATATCTGCATCGCAGCCTTCCCTATTCTTTTTATGTAAAGCGTAAAAAAGTGGTAGCCAGCAAAGAGAGAGGGCTTCTTTCCCCTTTTTACATACCTTTTCCAAATCACAAGATACATAACTTGGACGTTGAACGTGTCATTGTAATAAATCCGAAGTTGCGTGATGGTAATTGACACGAGAGGTATCTCGGCTTGTTCGGTGACCAAGAAGGAGAACACATACACACACATAGAGGTGCTCATCTGACAGACGGCATCCACTTTTCACACTCACAGCAAACTCAAACACCATCACCAAACGAGCGCGGCGCATTCGGGAACGGGTAAAGATCTGGTGTTACACATACACATACATCATATATATGCATTAAACATCCTTTTTCTCTTTCTCTTTTTCGCATCTGCGCAGCCTAAACAAACTCCGACAAGCCCAATGTTCATTGCCCTGATAACTCCCAAACAGAAAAGGTAGGAAAAAAAAAGAGAAGACAGGATGTGGAGAAGAACAAGTCCCAATGCCGTGAGGAAAAACCTATGTGCCGCCGTAAGTTTTTTGTAACATGAGGTTTTTGTTTGACCTAGGGGGGGAAGATAGGAAGATTCTTTTTTTTTAGAACATGTCGTCAAGGGGTCTGGGAAGAGACCCTCCTTGGAGCAAACCCGTTGCGCGCAGAAAAGGGGGTATTTTGCGCGGCAGCGATGGTGTGTCGTCTTCCTTTACTCGTCCTTGGACTTCTTCTTCTTCTTCTTCTTCTTTTCCCCGTCGGCCTTTTCGGGCTCTTCCTCGACGGCTGGGGCGACCTCGGAGTCGCGCTTGCGCTTCTTCTCCTTCTTCTCCTTCTTGTCCTTGGACTTTTCCTTCTTGTCCTTCTTCTCCTTCTTCTCCTTCTTGATCTCCTCGGCGGCGGCGTCGACCATTTCGGCGTCGTCGAGGTCGAGGTCGCCTTCGACCTGCTCGAGGACGGAGGCCTAAGCGCGGTTGGGTTAGCTGCATTCTGCTGTGGGATAAGGGGATAAAACATACCATCACGTCGGCGTTCTTGGCGGGCTTCTTGCCGGTGGCGTAGAACTCGAGACGGTCCTCGACCTGCTGGCGCAGGGCCTCGCCGAACTTGGTGGTGGGGTTCTCGGTGTAGTTGTCGATGCGGGAGGCGATGGAGCACTTGTTGGCGAGGTAGCGGGAGATGCGGCCCTTGTTCTTGACGGAGGCCTTGCCGATGAAGCTGGAGTGGTAGATGAGGCCGTACTTGGGGGTGTTGCTCTTGGTCTTGAGGGCGCGGAAGAGGGCCTTCTCGGCGCCGAGGATCTGCAGCGTGGAGGCCGGGTACTTTGACAGCGCGGTGAGGGAGCCCGCGTGGGAGATGAGGCGGGCGGCGACGGGGGTGCCGATGAGGGTCTGCAGGTTGGGCGCGACGACGGACATCTTCTTGTCGAGGTAGTTTGCGGTGGCGCGGCGGGCCTCGGCCTGCTGGACGACGGCCTCGGCGAAGCCCTTGACGATCTCGAGGTCGGCGGGGGTGATGGTGAGACCCATGGAGACCTTTGCGGCGTCGATGATGGCCTGGGCCTTCTCGCCGTCCTCCTCGACGACGGCGGCGATGTCGTGGAGGCGGTCGTCGTTGAGGGTGGCCTTGTCGCCGATGAGGAGGACGAGCTTGGCGTAGGTGAGGTTGTCGGAGACGATCTTGACGAGCTCGGGGAAGTGCCAGCCGTACCACTCGCGGACGCGCATGAAGAACTGGTTGACGCCCTTGTCCTGGAACTCGACGGTGGCGGAGGCCTGAATGACGTGGTTGTCGTTCTTGGTGGTGCTGAACTTGACCTTTGCGCGGGAGTAGGAGTGGCCGAGACCGAGGCCGGCGGCGGTGGAGTCGCCGGTCTGGAGGCCCTTGAGGAGCTTGTCGGCGTGCAGGCGGACGCCGCGGAGGAGGTCGCCGGCGACCTCTGAGGTCTCGGAGGTTTCGCAGTCGACGCCGGAGAAGGTGGACTTGATCACGGACGCGAGGTTCTTCTCGGCCACGGCGAGGGTGACCTTGGACTTCTTGCCAGAGGTCTGCGGCAGGTTGAGCTCGAGGACGGACTTGAGGTGGTCGGACATGAGACCCTCGGAGATGTGGTTGATCTCGTCCAGCGCTTGCTTTCCGGTGCTGTTTGGCGGGAAACGTGTGTTAGCCTCTTGGGTCTCTGGAAGTCTGTCTGTCTCTCCACCGAGACGCGCCGCGGTGGGGGAAAAAGAGCAAGATGCTACACGCGCGCGAAGGGGGTTCCGTACTCAAAGGGGGTGAAGTTGACGAGCTTGACCATCTTGCCGAAGCGAGCGAGGTCACTGATGGTCTCCTGGGCCTCCTTCTGGCGCAGGCCAATGCTGTCGGGCTGGTTCTCGACGTGGAACACGCCGTAGCCCATGGGGGCCTCGTAGAGGAGGTAGTTGACGGCTTGGGCCATTTTTGCTGTTCTGTCTCAAGCACTCTTTTGTGGTTTGAATGTCGTTCGAAGCCGACAGGAAAGAGCCTCGCGCGCGGGGGTGTGGAGGCGGAGGAGGGGAGGTGGAATTGGGCGTCTCGAGACAGAGGAAATCGAGATGTTCGAGATGGTCGGATTTTTTTTCTTCAATTTTTCCTCACCCCCACTGGGTTCAATTGGAAATTTTTCTGGAGCTCGCAAAAGCTGGCGCACGGGCCAGTCTGCCGTCGGTGTGGAAGGCTGGAAGCGGTCACGTGTCCCGGCGCAGGCTGAGGCCGGTTGCCGACGTGGAGTGGTTTAATTGTGGCGGTGGCTGCCATCTTGTGGCTTTGCTGTCGAGGTGAGTTGAGTTGACTGGCTTGGGATGGCAGTTTGGCAGGACCAACGCCATGAGACGATTGCACTGCATCTTCGGGGAGTATGGTGCTGAAGGTTTCTTCTGCTTCTATTTCCATATTCTAGAAACATGCTGCCGCTCGTACGGATGTAGCAGCCTGCAAGAAGACTTCACTTCACGTCCACGTCCTTCATTGATACGAGACGGCTGGGGAGTCGGATCACGCAGCAGCTCTCGCACTGCTTACTTTGAAATGAATTTTATCTTGATAGAATCTCTGTATCTACTCATGCTCTCATAGAATTTTTCAGGTTATAATGAGTTGTGGTGATGGAGAGACGAATTTTGGTACATCTTTTCGTGTTGACTTTAATTCAACATGATTCGCAACTTTTGGCACAAATGATCAAGATTCAAAAGTATGCCACTACACAACCAGTATGAATTTCCAAGCAAAATCGAGCTTAAAATCAAAGTCAAGACCAATTGACGTGATTCAAAACGTACCCAAGCCTTTAAACTTGGCACAGGTGAATTGGCGTCCTCTTTGCGCCGCTGTATGCGCCGTAAAAAGCCCCTCACATGCAAATGCCGGCCCAACCGCGTGCTGACCCAAAACCGTCGACTTAGCTTCAACGTCGCTCTGCAACTGGATAAGCCAAATGCTCCTCCTCCGAGTCTCCCGGGCCCAGTCTCACATGCCCAACATGATGTCACCACTCCACCCAATCACTCTCACGTCGCATGCGAAAAAGGCTAGCCAAATCTGTTTAAACGAATGACTTTGTTCATGATCATTACACATTACACATTAGATAAGCATGCTATATGTACAACAGCGCTGAGACTCGTACGGTCTCAGCTAATGAATCGAAGTGCGGCCATCCTCCCATCATGCGCGTCTGCTCCGCTTCGCGCTGCCGTTGGCCACGCCGCTCGCAACCTCCGCGACGGGCACGGCGTCGATCTTGGACACCTCCTCGATGGTCTCCAGGGGCTCGACGTCGGACTCCTCGGCCTCGGAGCGGTCGTCCTTCTCCTCGCCGTGCCAGACGTAGCGGTAGCCGATGCGCACGAGGAAGAAGAGCCAGAAGAGGTTGAGCGCCTGCAGCAGGCCCAGCAGGCCGAAGGTGATGATGTTGGAGGCCATGCACTTGTACTGCTGGTTGTCCCAGTCGGGGTAGAACTGGTAGGGGCCGACGGTGCGGAACTCGGTCAGGATGGACCAGAGGATCTTAAGGTTGATGACGTGGCGCAGGTAGATCCAGGAGGCGAGGGACAGGCAGTACCACGGACCTGTGATCGGGTGATCGATGTAGTTGAGCGTTTTGGACATCTGATATTGTTAGATACGGGGTGCGTTGGGGTGAGGGGTGAGAGTGTCACTTACGGCCATGAAGAAATCACTGATATCGTGGGTCAGGTAGACGGCAATGCCGATGTGGGTGAAGTGGAAGCGGTAGCTGAGACCGATGAGGCCGAGCGTGACGATGTGATGCGCGACCAGCTCGTAGTAATCCTTGCGCGGCTTCTCCATACCGAGGAGCATGACCAGCGCCTGCTGCGCCCAGTACGCCGCCTCGAAGAGGTAGTAGAACTTGACGATGGCCTCGTGGCTGCGGTGCGGGTAGAGCTCGTACATGCCGGTGGTGTTGAAGTACCAGACGGGCGTCCGGCTCATGACGTACATGCCGGCGGGGCCGAGGATGGCAAAGTAGAACGCCGTGTAGCCCTGCTCCATGAAGCGCAGCTGCTTGCCCCTGGAGCGAATGCCGTAGGACTTGGCGAGAGGGCGGAGGAGCTCCTGCATGACGAACTCGCGTGTGAAGGTCAGGACGATGGAGTAGAACAGAACGAAGGCGATGTCCCAGGGGCCCTTGCCGTAGTGGACGGGGGCGTCATTGTCGTCGGCGGCGTCGGAGAGCTTGTAGGAGAGGAAGAGGAAGTGGTGGACGATGTTGGACTCGGTAGGGTTGATGGCGTAGGTGGACAGGAAGGCGAGGATCAGGACGAGAGGCGTGGTCCAGGTGTGCTTGACGGCGATGTGCTTGCACTTGCGGAGGAGGGCGCGGGCGCGGCTGCGTTGGGCGACGAGCTCGTCCTGCTTCGCGGAGGCAGAGGACGGCTGGCCGTGGGCTCTGATGCTCGACTTTCTGCGTCGTCGGACGGCCTGGTCCTTGCCAGTGGGCGCTGGCGACGAGGCCTGTTCTGGGAGTTGTTCGGGCGCGGTCATTGTCGCGTGCGGCGGCTGATCGTGCCCTCAATGAGGATGTTTGTTGTTGTGGTGATTCTAAGATGAGAGACTGCGGGGTGTCGCGTGTGTGTATATGAGATGTTGGGTTGAGGTTGAGAGAGAAGAGACAGAGGTCGCTGTCTGGTGTTCGGTCGCAATTAACGACGAGACAGAAGTCGGTCAAGGGCTGAGGTGGTGAACAAGAAAGAGGCGTTGCTGGATGGCGGTGACTTCTTCAAAAGGAGGCAGAGGGTTAATAGGAGGAGCCAAGAGAAAGCCGAGGGAGGCGGTCGGTGGTCGGTGTCGTCGGGGGCTTTTTTTTTTTCTAGGTCTTTCAATTTCCCCCGTGGCTTGCACCGGAGGCGGAATTAGGGTGGATCAGGGACAATCTTAAGGCGGACATGGGTTCAATTCTCACGGTGTCTGTCCGGGTGCCCAGGGGGGCCAGTCTGGGGACTCGGGGAGACGCTGGACCACCAGGTAAGCGGCGCAGCGAATCGCAGGCCGCTGTTGTACGCGGATGACCTCTGGACCTGCGGTAAGCTGCGTTTTTTTGTCTTTTCCGGCCCACCCGGTGGGAATCAGCGGAAAGGAGGAGTGTCGATGCGCTGCTGCTTGTTGCTGGGCGAAGAGGTTTGCTTTGCAGAGGTTTTTTCCTCTCTGGGGCCTGCTAATAGTTTTGATTAAAGGGCGATCACTCTGCAGGAAGAAGAAGAAGCAAGCCTGCGATAGGTGGCTGGGCCTGCCGTGTTTTTGTTGGTTGCGAACGTTGGGGGCACCACTTGAAGGCGCCTTGTGTTGCCTTCTACGGTATCAAGTTTTAGTTTGAGGAATCCATTCTGACTGCCGCAAGCACTTCAGCAGGATGCAATAGGGGAACGGACACGCGATAAAATGTCCGATGTCTGGACGGGCATTAATTGGGCGGCTGTTGCAGGTGGTGTTTGAGTCTCTTGAAACCACGCTTCTCACAACTGTCTGGACGACGCAGCAAACAGAACACGTCAGTCAATCTGTTCTAGTCATTCATCCAACCAGTCTGCAGTGCTGGAGTTTGACGGAATGTCACCGGTCAGAGTTGGACGACGGCCATTGACTTCGGCTTCCTTTGGGAGTGCCGTCATCCCAACTGGACGGGACCTTCCATTGGCAAAAGACAGGACGAAGACGGAGCCCGGAGGCCGGAGACCCCTATTGTCAATCGAAGTTGTTGAGCTGGCGATTCAGGGGTCATGTCGTCACCGTGCCCGCCCGAATTTTTCGTCCCATGTTCCCGTCGCTTTGTTGCCTTAATAAGCGCACCGCGTTGTCACTGGCAGCTGGCGTGTCGCTGTTCCAGCCCGTGAGCTACCGGCTCTACCGACGCCAGAGACGGAGACCACAGCACCTCCGAGCGCCCGGCAGTGGGCACTCAACGGCTGCGTATTAGGTCAGCATTTCCCGAGCATGGAAAGTCAGCAAATGTACCTACAGGCATCTGCTCGCAGGGGAGGTACATCTACCAGGCAAACACCCGCCCGCGCCACGACTTGCCGCCTGAACCTTGCCAAGCGTCACTCCCACCACTCCTTCCTCCTCGCTTCCAAGGCGTTCCAGCCGTGCCACTGCTGGGATTGTGTGTGGCTTGAACGCGCTGACGATACCTCGACGCCTCACCCAGCTCACAGCTCCAGTCACAAAGCGTGGCACCCAGCAGCTGGCATTGCAGGCTTGCAGCAGCAGCATTGCACCAGCGTTACGGCACGTTGCTCCCGTCCTGGCACTTTACGTACATTACAGCTCATGGCGCAGGGAGGGGGAGGGGCAGTGCCATTCGCACGCCCGTCTGTCCACCGCGGGGCTCCAGCAGGGCTGCCTCTCTCAGGTCCTGTCCTCTGCGCGAGGGATCCCATCTTGATGGAGCTGCACCACCTGCATCGCAGCACACAGCACATAGCTCAGCACTGCCATTCGTGTGATTCGTATCCGTCTACACGTGTAAAGAATCTTGGCCAAACAGCTACCTAGCTCGTCGTCAGCAATAAGAACCACCACTTCCCATCTGCTGCTTGCATCTACTCTGTCCTTCTCGCATTGAACCTTGGCATAGAACATAACTGTATGCATTTCCAGCGCCCGACCTGCATCCTCACCTCGATCGCAGTTCTCCTTGCCACGCTCTTCCTCACGCACACCTACACCGACCTCTTCTCTCGAGTCCCGCTCCCCAGCTTCAAATCACCCGCAGAAGACAACATGGGCGGCGGTCCAGGCTTCCGTTCCGTGGCCTACTTTGTCAACTGGTGAGCCCTCCGGTTCCTTCCTCTTGTTCGACCAAACTAACCTCTCCAGGGCAATCTACGCCCGCAAGCACCGCCCCCAGGACCTCCCCGTCGAGAACCTCACCCACATCCTTTATGCATTCGCCAATGTCCGCTCCGACACAGGTGAGGTCCACCTCACCGACGGCTGGGCCGATACCGACATCCACTGGGAGGGCGACAGCTGGAACGACGTCGGCACCAACCTCTACGGCTGCCTGAAGCAGCTCAACCTCCTCAAGCGCCGCAACCGCAACCTCAAGGTCCTGCTCTCCGTCGGCGGCTGGACCTACTCCTCCAACTTCAAGAACCCCGCCAGCACCCCGCAGGGCCGCGACACCTTCGCCCGCAGCTGCGTCGACCTGATCAAGAACCTGGGCTTCGACGGCATCGACATCGACTGGGAATACCCGCAGAACCAGGCCGAGGCGTCCGACTTCGTGGCCTTGCTGCAGGCGACGCGCGACGCCATGGATGCGTATGCTTCGACGCTGCCGCAGTGGTACCACTTCGAGCTCACCGTCGCGTGCCCCGCCGGCGCGCAGAACTACGAGAAGATGAACCTCCCCGCGATGGACCGTCTGCTCGACTTTTGGAACCTGATGGCGTACGATTATGCGGGCTCCTGGGACAGCACCGCCGGCCACCAGGCGAACCTGCAGCCCTGCAACAGGAACCCGAGATCCACGCCCTTCAGCACGGCCGCCGCGCTGTCGTATTACACCTCGCACGGCGTGAACCCCACCAAGATCGTGCTGGGCATGCCGCTGTACGGCCGTGCCTTTGAGAACACGGACGGTCCCGGGGCGCCGTACTCTGGCATCGGCGAGGGAAGCTGGGAGAACGGCGTGTTTGACTATAAAGTGCTGCCGCTGCCCGGCTCACAGGAGTACGTCGACGAGGAGACCGGGGCGAGCTATTCCTACGATGCCGGCAGGAGGAAGATGATCAGCTACGACAACCAGCACCTGGCGCGGAAGAAGGGAGAGTACATCAGGGGGTGGGGTCTAGGAGGCGGCATGTGGTGGGAGAGCAGCGCCGATAAGCCCGGCCATGAGTCTCTTATCGGCACCGTCGTGCATGCCTTTGGCGGACCGCACTCGTTGCAGAGGCGGGACAACTGCATCACGTACCCGGAGACGAAGTATGAGAACCTGAGGAATGGATTCCCGAACAATTAGATACCACAAAGCTGTAGCAATCTGGAGAAATGTCACGAATCACAATGTCACTGCGGGCTGAACCGGTGGTGGAGGAATGGTCATGAGTGTCGTGAATTTTGCATCGTCATTGCCAGCCAGTGATGTGGTGGTATCTACATCAACGCCCCTTTTTGTGCGGCTTCCTGCCGACTAGAATGCTAACCCTGGAAACCATTCCTCCCAAACAAGCCTTTTTTATCCTTCACATCCGCGAAACACTGGCAACAAGCTTACTCCTTCTTGTCGAAGACGTAGGTGAGGTGGCAGCGGCCGCAGTACTGGCGGTCGTTCATGGCAGCCATGAAAACACCGGCACCGCACTGGATAAGAGTTAGTGGTGTGTTCTTGAGAGCGAACGAGGGAAAACGTACGGTGTCGGAGGGGCACTCGCGGCGGAGACGCTCAATCTTGCCGTCGGAGTCGACCTTGTAGTACTTGAGGACGGCCAACTTGGTCTTCTTGCGCTTGTGCTTGATCTTCTTGGGGGTGGTGTAGACCTTCTTCTTGCGCTTCTTGGCACCTCCACGCAGGCGCAGGACGAGGTGGAGGGTGCTCTCCTTCTGGATGTTGTAGTCGGAGAGGGTGCGGCCGTCCTCGAGCTGCTTTCCGGCGAAGATCAGGCGCTGCTGGTCGGGGGGGATGCCCTCCTTGTCCTGGATCTTGGACTTGACATTGTCGATGGTGTCGGAAGACTCCACCTCAAGGGTGATAGTCTTACCCGTGAGGGTCTTGACGAAGATCTGCATGATTGCCTACTTGTGTAAGGTTAGTTTTCTGGCACACTGCTGTTGTGGTGCTGGCCCCATGAGGCGCCCTTACTGGGCATCTCTCGATTCTTCTCGGTCTCTGGCTTGTGTGTTCCTCGTGGGGAGGAAAGTTGTCGAGGCGAAGGGTGGTGGTGGTGATGGCGATTAATGTCACGACGTCGCGCGCACGCACACACACACGCTTCGCTGGATTTTCGACAATGGTGGTCGTGGCCGCTGCGCCGCACAACCGACGCTTTCGATTTCGCGATTGCGTCGGGAGGCGAAGGGCGACGCCGCCGCAGAGAACTCGACAAGCCAGAGACGGGAACGATATCGAGAGAAGTGGGAAGAGGGCGCTCACGGCCAGCAAAGAGGGAGCAGAAGCATCTTCAGACGTACCTCGACAATATGACTATTGCCTTCCTAAGCAAATCCTCAGATGGGTTTGGGGTGGGATGGAGAGAAAATTAAATGGGAAAATGGTGGTCGGCGCGGCCTCTTGGACGGGAAAACCGACGGCCGCCGCGCTGGGGCCCTGGGGTTGAGAAAAGCGGGGCATGGGCTTCAGACAAGCGAGGGCACGGCATTCGGAGACGGTGATTGGCTGTGGGGGCGTATGGAAATGGACTTGTGCGCGCGAAAATGGCTCTGATTTTTTTCTGGTGTGCCTTTTTCCCTCTGGCCGTCCCGGTCGAGGTGGATCTCGAGCCAGCCCTTGCGACCAGCCCTCCTTCGCCTGCAACCACTTCTTGTTATCCACCATTGCGTCGACAGTTCGCAGAGGCCCAGCCCACCAAACGGAAATCTTGACTCAGCAAGCCGAGTGAAAACCTCAAGTATGTCTGCCGCGAAATTCCTCCTCCTTCTTCCTTTTCCTCTCCACGGATACTAATCACCCCAGCAGACGTCGCCAAAATGGTCAAGAAGAGAAAGAACAAGTACGACCCTCTCGTCCCCTCTCTGCCCTCGAGCATGGCTTCGACGTCGACGACGACTGCCATGCGAACCATATCATGAGCCCGGCTCGCCGTCGACGTCGCTGTCGCCGTTGAGGCCTCCCCAATCGACCACGCGGGATCACGATTGCTGACTTTGGTGAACCTACAGCGGACGCAACAAGAAGGGCCGCGGCCACGTCAAGCCCATCCGCTGCAGCAACTGCTCGCGCTGCACGCCCAAGGACAAGGCCATCAAGCGCTTCACCATCCGCAACATGGTCGAGTCTGCTGCTATCCGTACGCCTACCTCCCCTCCGCCCCCTTCATGACCAGACAACTAACAACCCGCCAGGTGATATCTCGGACGCCTCCGTCTTCGCGGAGTACACCGTACCCAAGATGTACCTGAAGCTGCAGTACTGTGTCTCTTGCGCCATCCACGGCAAGATTGTCCGGTACGTTCGTCCGCGGGAGCGACGACTGCGCGCCCCGGCCCCCGTGCCGGTGGTCAGCAGGCGCTTCAGAAGAACCTTGGCTCTACTCGAAGCTCCCACCCTCCGTTGTCCCTCGACCCTTTCCTCGCAAGGGGAATTGGTCTTGAGCGGACTCGTGCTGAGACCATGTAATGCTGACCTCCCCTCGCAGTGTCCGTTCCGTCGTCGGCCGCCGCAACCGTGCTCCCCCTCCCCGCGTCCGCTACAACAAGGACGGCAAGAAGATCGTCCCCACCGTTGCCAAGACCGCTTAAGTCGGCTACCGCAGGGATGTATTGGGCATGATGGCGTTTACGAGCAGTGGATGAAAAAGTTGTCCTTTCAGGCATGGTTTGGGAACCGGAATCGGGTTTATGAATCGGGCCATGGCCCTAGGCTAGCAAAGGAAATGCTTCATGACACTGTCATCGTCCCCAAATCTGTCTCTTCTATCGTGACATGTCTTTTCTTTTCTCGTTGAGCTGTTGGACTCTGTCTACTCCTGCCTCGTGACTTCGAACGCAACGAAGCGCCAGTCCTTATCCCACCATGCCGGCTTCTTCGCCCCAGGCTCATCCATGGTTCCAATCTGATCGCTCACCTCCGTCTTCAGCTTCCACCGCGTGCCCGTCGCTTTGGATATGTCAACCCACATACTCTCCCACGTCTGCAGGTTATGCCGCAGGCTGGGCTTGTTAAACATGCCCGGCAGCTCCAACCCGTCCGCGTGCCCAACCGCGTGTCCCACCATAACCACACCCGGCTTCTGCTTCAGCAGGCGGATCACCCGCCTCAGCACCGTCATCTGGTCCCCCCTGTTCCACAGGTGCAGGCACAGCCCCAGGTGCGCCGAGTCGAACTGGCCCTCGAGCGCGTTGAGCTTCTCGCTCTTGTCGTCGAGCATGTCGGCGTTGACGAAGGTGGTCTTGAGCGTGTCCTTGTCGCGGAAGAGGTCGTAGCCGGCGTCGATGTAGCCCTGCTCGATCTCGATGGCGGTGATGTTCTCCGAGGGCACGCCGTCGTAGACCATCTTGCGCAGGTCCTGGCCGATGCAGCAGGCCACCTCGAGGTGCCGCGCGCCGGGCTCCTGCAGGCGCGCGACGAGCGAGGGGTACACGGCCCGGTGGCGGAGGTTGAGGTCCAGGAAGGAGAAGTGGCCCACGCAGGGGTAGGGGAAGACTTCCCAGATCTTGTCGCGCTGCGGTGTGTGTGTTAGAAGAAGAGATGTGTTTGAGTGTTAGAGGGGGGACGGGTGCTGACCATTGTCATGATGTGTTCTTGGATGTCTTCGGGCGCAACGTGAGCGTAGTTCTCGAGGAGATCTCTCGTTTCTGGCGAGATTTCCTTCTCCATGGTTGGCGTGTACCACGGAGCCTGCCTGTTCCTCTCCCCCATGAGAATACTATTATCTACTGCCTGCATCTTGAGGTTCTTGTATCAGTGGTTCTGGAGTTGTACTGTTCTTTTAGTAACATCAATGGGTGCTCCGTATTCGTGTCTACGAATGGTTCCAACTGAGTTGTCAACTGAGCTTTCACCTCTTTATAAACCCAACCTCCCACACCTCCAGCTCCTCCCGACCAAGCTGCTGGACCTTCTCTAGAGCACCACTGGCCGATCTCGGTTCCGTTCAAGGTTGAGGGGGTTCATAAGTTGGGATGGAATCACCCGTAAAAGACTTTGGAGCCGCGTTTCATCATCGTATTTGGGTCATGCTGGGTGCTGACCTGCTGAACTCTGTGCGATCGTCTGATATTTTGTTTACTATCTTCCGCCAAGATAGATCTAGATAACATGGAAACCCGGATTACTGTAATGAGGAGAGGAGAGAAATGGAGGGGTTCCGCCCGACGATAGGAATGGCTCTGTCAAAGTTCACCAAGCCACTCGTGCACGATGCTTTGGCTTTTCTACGCCCTACTTTGCACACGCACCCAACGCCTTACTTTCAACCTCTCAGACCCGTGTAAAACCCGTGCTGAGGGTGCGGATGACAGCGTTTACCATGTCACTGGGAGCTTCACCACGCCGACGTCTTTGTGAAGGGGTGTGAACTCCAGCTCGGAGATTGGAACGGCGATCTTAAGGTTGGGCAGCTTGTGGAAGAGGGTGGCTGGTTCGGCGCGTTAGTAAGCTGCTCTCAAAGCTTGATGCCTGCCTTTCCGAGGGATACTGGCGTGGATAAGGGAGGGGAGAGGAAGTTGACGGAGTGTTCGTGGGGAAGTTACGTGACAGAAGAAGAAAGATAGGAGAAGTCCGCTTACCAAAGACAACCTCCATCTCTGCGCGTGCCAGAGGTTCCGCAATGCACCGGTGCGGGCCGAAGCCGAACCCCAATGCGTGGTTGGGATCCGGGGTGCGGTGCATGTTAAAGACGTCTGGGTCTGGGAAGACCTCTTCGTCGCGGTTGCCGGAGGCGTTGGCGGCAATGATGCCTTCACCCGCTTTGATGGTCTGCGTGATGTTAGTCTACGTCTTCCGCCACAGAAAACCTGGAGACGTTGAATAACTTACCTGGCCGCCGAGGACAATGTCCTCTTTCGCAACCCTCTTCATGGCCATCGACGAGCCGGTGTGATACCTGCAAAGCTCTTCGACAAATGCCTTGGAGAGGGTGGGGTCTGACTTGAGATCGGCGAGTTGTGTCGGGTTGCGGAGCAGTTCGATTACGCCCTGGTTCGTATCAGCCATCGGCCACAGAAATTGTATGAGAGAGAAACCTACGAGCGCAATCATGTTCACCATCGTGGCATTGCCTGCTACCAACAGCAGGAAAGCGATCTGCACAGCATCGGACTTTTCAATGTGGCCAGGTCTGAGCTGCTCGACGACGAGCTTGCTGATGAGGTCGTCCTTGGGCTGTTCGGAACGCTTTTCTACGAGGTTGGCGAGGTAATCGAGCAGTTCCCTGGAGGATGTGTCAGGAAGTCGGCAGAAGATGAAGGACATGGGGCGACTTACTGGTTGGCAGCTTGAGCTTGAAGAGCGGTGCCGCTGCCGTTTGTGCGGATCGCGTTTTGCTGGGTGAGGTATTCAAGGTCTTCAAAAGGAACGCCGAGGATGGTGTAAATGATCTTCCAGATATTCATGTGAGCTCCGTGAAACCGGCTGTTACACAAAAGCAACTAGGAAAGATGAAAAAAGCGGGGTTGCTCACGTATGAGGGCACTGGCAAGGCAAAGTTATCAATGAGATCAACCGGCTCCTCGCACCCTTTCGCGACCATCTGATCGAGTAGCTGGTCTACCGTCCTCTGGATGTACGGCTTCATCGTCTCCACGTGCTCGGCAACGAAGAGAGGTTCAACCATGGACCGCTGGCGCATGTGCGCGGGAGGATCCATATCGACGAAGGTGGGCTTGTTCTTGGCGGCTGCTTTGCCACCGGCGCTGAGCTCTGGGAAACCAGGCCTCGTGCGTTCCTGCATTGTATCATGTCAATGGCTTGCGGCCATTTTTATAGGCTTGAAGGAGAGGTTACCTTGGACAAGCGAGTATCCGTGGCCACGGCGCAGACGTCCTTATACTTGGTCACCAGCCATGCCAGTGAGCCGTCAAAGAGCTTGACGCGGGAGACGGGGTCTGTGGCGCGGAGGCGGGCGTATTCCGCTGGCGGCTCGAGGCCGGAGGCGCGGCTGAAGGGGAAAGAAGGGGGCTCGGAGGTTGTCATTTTGCGGGCGGAAAGGGTGTTTATGAGGGTTGGAGTGATCTTGGAAGACCTAAGTAGGCGGGATGTAGAAATCATGAATGAGACTGCAAGTTGCTCGATGATGCTCTAATCTCAAAACTTATGTTGGCGAGACTCTGTAAACATTTTATACTCTTTTCACATTATAATAACTACGTCACTGAAGTCTAGATCTCAAAAGCACAAGCTTCAGCCGGTTGGCGACGGTCCATCTCATGATGGGTTGTGGTCTGATAGTGAGCGAGCGACACTCCGCGACGTCAATAAATTCAAATTGTAATACGGATGACCCGGTTGGCCAGTAGCATGGGGACAATGTACTTGGTAAGACACAAAAACATAGCTTGCAGGGATTTGTTGGCCGATGATATGCTGACAAGGAGCGGGAAGAGGCGGAAAGGTCCGCGGAGTTGTCCAGATCTGACTTCGGAATCATTTTGTGGCCGCTCGTGATGCCCATATGGGTCCGTCAAGTCCCGGCTCTGCGGCGTTTAAACCTCTTTTGGCGGCATTTCTCATTGCAAGGTCCGGTGAGGCTAGTCATGCGTGTTTATTTGATGCAGGGCTTAGAATATCATGGACTTGTGCTGGTTTTTCTCTGTGGATGGAGAACGAAGATGCATTTCCAGATCTCCGGGAATTTGTCACTGTGGATGGTAGGACAATGCTGACTCGAGGTGACATACTATTGGACCATATTCTAGTCGGGGTTACTCGATTTGGTATGTGCAAGCAAGTATCCCGCCGGCTTATGGGGTACATCGGGTTGAGAGACCGGTGCTCTCCGTGGCCCGGCGTCATCGGTCCCGTATGGTGGGGCCGGGTTCGTTCAAGCGGGATTCCAAGGAAACCTGACGTTTGGAATATGGACGATGTGAGTCAGAATAAGTCTCTGCTGAATGGCGATGATGATGCGTTTTTCTTCTTCGCTGCACTTGCCGACTAATGCACTTAAAGCTTGAAGACTCTTCTTCCATGAAAGCAATATCAATCCCGAGCCTCCGTTTCTGTGACTTTCCTAGGTTTGTATGGCTGACTGGTGTTAGCCAGAAGTCTTCATAGATCCGAAGCTCGACTTACCAAAGGCTTCGGCGGCGCATCAATCCACGCTGCAATGGTGTACTGCTGGTTATCCGCTGCCGTTAGACTTAAATCATACTTCCCGCCCTTCATGTAACCAAACGCAAAGTTCATCGGGAACCGCGGGTCGAACGGCGAGGCTTCGTGGATGAGATCAATATCTGCTTTGGAAAGCTCGATGCCGATTGCTTCGGGGATGGCCTCGACGTGGGCGACGGTGTTGACGCCGACGATCGGGAAAACGTACGGGGATTGATGAAAGAGGTAAGCCAGGGCCTGTCGGAAGTCAGCATCCAAAATCTGAAGTTCAACGCATCGGAGAACAAACGATGGATCGAAGAGTCGCGCCCTTCTCTTTTGCAATCTTTTCGAGCGCCTCGCAGAGAGCGACCGAGACCTCCTGCCCGTGAGAAGACTTGCGCGCGTCGGGGTCCTTGTCTCGTGCCTCTCTTTCTTCGGCTGTCAGGAACTTGCCGCCGCCGAGAGCTGCCCAGGGAACAATGGCCAT